TTACTCAACCACTTTGGGAAAAAAGTATGGCAGTTCTCTATGAAGTTAAATTTAACTTTACCCAGATCCACTGAACAGTATGCCTGGTATAAAAGTCTTTATTTATGATAGCCCCAAGTTAGAAACAATGCAGTGGAAGGGATCAACCAATTGTGACAGCTTCAAACTACATAACGCAAAATAATTAATTAATGATCCATGTAGCAACGTAGGGGGTTTTCAAAAAATATTATTGGGTAAAGGAAGCCCAGCACAAAAGAGCATATATTGTCTATTTCTATTTACAGAACTTCCCGAACAGACAAAATTAGTTGATGATGAAAGATATAAAAATATAGTTGCTCACAGAGAAAGGGCGAGAATTGACTAGAACTTTTCTGAAGTGATTAAAATGTTTTCTATCTTAATTGGGATGTTGCTTATATTTTCAAAATTAATCAAATGATACATGCCATACATTTAATTCACTATAAGTTTCATCTTTTAAAAAGCACTTTAAAAGTCTCTTCTCTACACAAAAACCAAACTCAAGTACATGTGCACATACACACCGGTGCACACACACTTCAGACTAAAAAAAATGAAAATCTAATTGTCAATACCTGGAAATATTTTCTCTGCTTGTGGGAGTGTGAATGGATACAAAATCACTTTAGGAAACCACCTGACAATATTTAATAAGGTAGAACTTGTGCATATGACCCAACAATTCCATCATTAATTGTGTGTCTCCCTAAACGCAAATGTGAACAAATAAATTGAAAGCAGCATTGTCTGTAATAGTTTTAAACTAAAGGGGCCTCCCTGGTGGCTCAAGGGGTTAAGACACAACCTATGAAGCTGCCTGTAGCCACTGCAGCACGAGTTTGATCCCCCAGTCGGCCAGGGAGCCACCCCCATGGTGCAGCAGACCTCTGACTTGCTCGCTGCTCCCCTCAGCAGTGTATTTCAGTCAATCTGCCTGTTCTGCTTCCCACTCTGTCTCTGGTGAATCCTCTCACCCCCTGCATCTCTGGCCTGTACTGCAGCTCTTGTATGCATAAATAAATCTAGTTTAAAAAAAAATAGTTTTAAACTAGAAACCACTCATTGCCCATCAAAGGTAAATGGATATATAAATTCTGCATTGCCCATACAAGCAAAAATCCAAGAACAGTGAAAGTGAAGTTATTCCCATTAATTGGGTTTCTGAGGTAGAGCTATGCAGAAACAACATTGAGAGGAAAAATGTGGAAAAAGACATATTGCATGTTAGCATTTGTATAATCTCAAAATACAAAAGCTTAATTCAATAAACTCCTTATGCAAGTATGCATAAGTAGGAATGGTATGAAAATACGAATAATAATATCAAATTCAGGTCAGTGATTACTTGGGGACGGAAAGAGGCACACAGGGCTCCATCTCTGTAATGTTTTATTTTTTAAAAACAAAACAAAACTAGAAAGATATTAATATGATATAGTTGGTGATGGATACAGGGTATTTATTTAAGATACTATTCTTCATGCATTTCTGCATATTGAAATATTTCAAGATAAACAAAGAGAAGTGGAGTCTCCAACAGTTGGAGCAGAGAGACTGGGGAAAGGAATTAATAGTTTCATTGTATTCTCAGAAGAAACAGCAAATTTCTCCATTGCCCAAGAAATATATGAGTCATTTATCCTTTGGAGTTTTGGGTATATTTTAGCTCATTTATTTATCCTTACCCTCTTTCCACAAAGGAGTCAAGGTAGCTTGCAACAAAAGACACATACAATGAGCCATGAAAATGTAAGCGTAAGTAGAAAATCAGGATCAAAGATAACAAATATTCTACTGGTACCACTCAACCACAGATGCCCATCTCAAGTTTCCAACTGGGTTCTGAACTTTTTGGCAATAGTAATCATTCCAGCTCCAGCTGACCCATAAAGGCTGGTTATAAAAACTGACCTTTGTTCTTCAACATTTAACTTAATGTTTTTCTGAGCAGTCTCTTGGTATTCTATTTTGCCTTGCTAACTAGCCAGGTTCTTTTTTGTTTGTTTGTTTGTTTTCCTCCCTCTCTCCATTTTTTTCCTGCTTCCTTCTTTTTTTCCCTTCTTTTCCTTTTTATTTTACTTACATGACAAGTAAATTGTGGTAATCATTGTGAATGCAGGTTGTACACATAATTTATTGACTGAAATACTCTTGGGTTAAGGTTTATAACCTCTGTGTGTTGCAATTTTCTAATATCCCAGTGGGGATATCATGTCTCGCCCAGTGTTGAGTTAAATGAGATAATGAACGTAAAGAGCTTACAACAGTGAGACGCTGCACAACAACGCTTAGTTATTATGGTGATTACTATTATATTTAGTCAAGGGAGGAGAATATTAATCCCAATGTGTCTCCTGCCTTTATCAAGAATACCTCAGGAGCAGGGTAAAGGCTTCACGGTCTCAGATGCCAGCCTCCAGCGCAAGCAGCGCAGTAAGTGGGGAGCTGATCCAGCAGCGTCCCCAGCAGCACAAATGGCCTCAGGCCACAGTGCACTTAGCCACCACCCCTAAAGCAAGCAGTACACTTAATCATCCAGCTGCTGAACCAGAACATGGGGGGAGTATCTCTCCAATTGGGGGATAGTAGTATGAGGGAACCAAAACACTTTCTGGCTGAGATTCCTTTTGGCAAAAACAATCCTTCAGCACACGTTAGCCCGGGTAGTCTCAAACCAGTAGGGAGTAGAATCTCTTTCTCTTCCTCAAAGACCAAGGAAAAACCCAAGTAGAGGGCCTCCCCGGTGGCGCAGCGGTTGAGCGCTGGGTTGCAAAGCTGCCCGCGGCCTCTGCGGCGCCGGTTTGATCCCCGGCTGCTCCCCGGCCACCGGAGGAGGGTCCCACATGGCGCGCAGACCTCTCCTGCCGCCCGCTGCTCCCCTCAGCAGTGTACTTCGGTCCTTCTGCCTGCTCTGCTCCCCGCTCTGGCTCTGGTGAATTCTCTCACCCTCCCACGCTTCTGACTGTACCCAGTACCCAGTGCATGTGTAAACAAAAACAAAGAAAGAAAGAAAGAAAACATGCCTCTATATAAAAAAAAAAAAAAAAAAAAAAAAAACCAAGTAGAGAGGACTTTTTCAGGACCATCACACCAAGCCAAAACTCTTCCCTGACCTCAGACTCAGTAGACCCAAGTCTCCTTGACCTTTCATCTGGGGGTTATCCTTACCTAGGAATTCTAGCTGAGCTGAAGGGGTCAGGTGCTAGATGAGCGGACACACCCTTCGGGAGTTTGGAACCAGGCAAAATAAGGACTCAAGAAGTAAAATCAATCAGTATGGGACAGAGGGGCCCGTTATGAGGGAACTGTGGTACAAAGAGATGAGAGGCCAAGGGACAAAGCTGTGCATAGGGCGACTGGGCTTTAGAGATGAGACCGAAACACTACCAGTAGGTCTCAGGCAAATGGTCTAGGCATAGACAAGTGGTGCCTGGGCATGCTAGAGGCCAAGTTACTGAGTTGTTCCTTAAATTCCCAGAAGAACTGAGGAAAGCTGAGAATGCATGTGCACGGGAGGGCGAAATCCCTAAAGGATGGGAGAGTTGGGAGGAGAAGAAGCATTCAGGAAGCTAGACAGATTTTTTACTGAACAGCCAGGCCATTCGCCTGCAAAGCCTAGCTTGCACAACAGTTCCCTCCACTCCTGAGGAGTCACAAGTTCTTACCTTTTTTTTTTTTAATATTTATTTATTTACGCATACAAGAACTGGGGTACAGGCCAGAGGTGGGGGAGGTGAGAGGTTTCACCAGAGACAGAGGGGGGAACAGAACAGGCAGATCTACTGAAGTACACTGCTGAGGGGAGCAGCGGGCAAGACAGGAGAGGTCTGTTGTACTATGAGGGTAGCTCCCTGGCAGGCTGGGGATTAAACTCTTGCTACAGAGGCTACGGCTAGCTTCACGGTGCGGTGCTTAACCCCTTGTGCCTCCAGGGAGGCCCCTCTTGCCTTTCGTACTGACTAGAAGCTCATAGAACAAGATACCCTTGTTTCTCCCCTCAACATAAACTTCAAGCTGTGATTTCATTTCTATACTAAACAAGATATAACCCCAGAGGAGATCATCCCTTACCACTCAGATGAGAGGTTGTCCATATTTCAATAAAGAGAAACTAACGGATCCTCAAGAAATGCTAACAGCTCTCCCTGTCCTGGGGTACCAGTTCAGGAATTCTACCTGTATCTGGAAGAAAAACTGCTTTATTTGCTGGATATTGGCTGCATTCCAGGCATTATCATAAATGCTTTAAATGTATTATCTCATTTGATCTTCACAGCAGTTTTATGAGGTGGTTTACTATTATGAGGAATCTAAGGTTCAGAGGGGTCACAAACTAGCAAGCCTCAGTTTTGACTCATTTTCATATTTTCTGCCCACAGTGACCCCTAAGACCCTCCCTTTGTGGTACCCTGAGGATGCCTTCCTAGAAGAATATGACCTCTTGCTATACAATAAAAGGATTCCTCCCCCGCTATATTAGAATATACAGTAAATATGATTGGATTAAAGAGGCAAACACACTTTTTTTTACTAATTTATTAATAAGTTTATAATTCACGCATAAAAAAACTTATTTTTGGTTTTGAAATCATAACATAAAATAAAAAGGCAAATAACTGGAAATGATCAGCTGAAGGTAGGTAGAAGCAACTCATGCTGAACCATGAGCAAACACAGTGTGCTTTGGGCTACAGCAGGGGCACTGATCAAAGCAAGAACCGAAAGTGCAGTGCATTTCAAGGCCCAAGCCAGCTCTAAAAATTACTTAGATTCCAAAGGTTGCTTGGACATATGTAGGAAATGAACTCTCCCGTCCTCTCACTTTCCTCTTTTCCTCCCACCCCTTCAGCTATGAACAGTAAGCAGTGCTGCTTGGATGCCAGTCTTTGTAGCGTGTGTACGGTGTTACAGTTGTGTTAACATGCTTCCCCCACCTAGTTTCCACCTTCAAAAATAAAACTTCTTAAATCAACTGTAATTAAAAGACATTTCTACTTTTGCTCAGCTATCTGCTGTAGGCAAAGTTTCATATAAGAATTTTTATTGCGGATTTCCATGACGGCATCCCTAACGAGTTCAATGAACATCTGTGGCCAAAGCTTCTGCAGAGCCTCATTTTTCATGTTGATTTCTGTGGCTTCCTTCACAAGGTCCTCTATATACATCTTGCAGAATTTCTTTTTTTCCTTTATTTCCTATTAAAAAGAGAGAAAAAACTCGCATTAAATCACTACTAATCTAAAGCCAAAGTAACAATGAGTTAAACTTGAGAAACCTGAAATAATCTATACTGACTCCCATCCCTCAGAACAGGAATACTTTCCTCGAGGCTGTTGACAGAGAGCGCCGCTTGAGAAAAGAGCAACAGGACGCCCTGTCCACTCCAACTGTTCCCACTGGGCTTCAGACTGGAGTAACTGGGTCATAGCTACTTCTTCTCCCTTCCTTCTTTTTCAGTTCAGGCAATTTAGCTCAAACAAGTCATCAGAATCACAAAATCATGGCTTCTAGTGGTAAATGTATTTGAATACTGATACCAACAATCTCAATTGATAGGAGGTCCATTAATATTCAGCACATACTTTAAATATCCATTCTCTGAATTCACTCTATATTTTAGGAAACCACAGTCAGCACATTACACTGACTGATGTGGCTTAGGAATGTGGACAAAGGTGGGGGAAGGTGTGCAAGGAGAAAGAAGAAGCTCATAAAAGCCTAAGAATCAGAACTTGGCATTGGAAAGAAACAATACCCCACTCTATTGGAAACATCAGGAATCCCATATTGGTCAAAGGATTAAATCCAATGACTTTCCCATACCTCTTTTACTACTTTTCCAGTCTCATTTTTTAATACCATTTACCTTCATCTCTGTGTTTCAACAACAATGAAATGGGCAGTTTCTGGACATTTCCTTATCTATCAAGTGCTTCCATAGTCTTTTATTCATACTATGCTATTTGCCAGAATGCCCTTTTCTCTTTGGCATATAGTTACATTTTATTCTTTAAGACATATCAGGATTTTGATTTTTACTTTATTATAATTAGTCTTTTTCCTGGTCCCTTATTTAGGTTTTCTAAATTCCTGCTGTGAGACCATCTGATATTTTTCTTTTTCTTTCTGGCTTATTTCGCTGAGCATGATCCCTTCCAGCTCCATCCAAGTTGCTGCAAATTGCATGAGCTTATCTCTTTTGATTGCTGAGTAATATTCCATTATGTATATGCACCACATCTTCTTGATCCAGTCACAGGCAACTATAAACCAGAGACACACTACAGGGGGAGGTGGGGGGGGATCAAAACAAGGAGGGGGTGAGAATTGTATGGGGACTATAATCAAGATGAAAATGCATACATTGTGCAAAAATGAATGATGTAAAAAATATATAAAATTAAAAAATAATAATTAAAAAAGACATATCAGGAAACTTGTCTAGAAAGTCTCCTTTGACATCCATAAGCTAGTCTTCCTCTATTCTCTTGATACAATAATGTATTATTATCCCTATACATGTCTATCACCTCCATTAGAATAGGAGATTCATGAAGAGCAGGACAGTGACTTCTTGACGCCCAAGTGTTGTGTGTGATAGGTGCTCAGTACATGATCTGTGGATGAAAGTATGAATACAGAGAAGGTTTCAAGGTATTAACTTCAATTATTTGAAGTTTTCATAAGAAAGAGATTTATTCTCTCTTCTACACAAGGCAATGTTTACTAGGATCATGAAATAAAAGCTATAGGAAACAGATTTCAGCTTAATATGGATAAGTTGAAATTGTTCGGTGATATACCGAATCACTTGAAGTACTTTCTTGCAATGGAAGAATTTCAAGCAGAATCTGAACATCTTTTCAGATGTTATACACACACACACACATATATACATACACACACACACACACACACATATCGTGGGTTAGTTACACCGTCACAGCATGCCTACAGTCCTTTTTTTAAACCAGAGTAATCAGAACCCTTGGTCTTACAATGCTCTAGATTTTTTGTACAAATTTCTTTTGAATATTTTTTTCTGCTAAAATAAGGTTATTAGAATTTTGCGGTCTACTACTTCCTAATGCCTTGCTACCTACTATCCCCAAGCTTATATATAAGGTTGCTAACATTCCAAAACAAAAAAGGCTATCTTAACTGGCTAAGAAAGGACTGTATAACTGCAGAGTTCCCAAGCATATTTCCAGGCACTAGATTCCAAAGATTAATGGTAGTTTTACCTCTAGCTTTTCATTATAAAAGTCTCTTGTGGTATAATTTAGTGTAGCACGGTTTGTGTTTTCTCCTACAAGTCTTTTGCTATCATTGTTTTCTTCATTGACAATGCCAGGTTTTTTGCCTTTGGTTTCAAGCAGATATCGGAACTGCTTCTTCCTACAGAAAGACAGTGAAGAGATTCAGAAATTGAGTTACTTATCAGACTTATTAAAATAGGTTTAGTTTTTGTTGATTTTACAGGGGAGCATATGTTCTTTTGATTTTTTGTTTCATGAGTCTGAGTTTGTTATTTATTTGAGTTCAGTTAGGTACCCCAATTTTTCTACTGGTTAAGCTACTCAACCCGAATTCTATTGGTTCATAGCTATTAATCAACATAAACATGTCTCAAACATTTCTAAAGTAAAAAAAAAAAAAACCTCTACCTTAAAACTCAATACAAAAATTTAAACAATCACAGAGCACAAAACAACCCAATTAAAGATATAGAAGAGACCAAAATTTTAAAATCTTTATATTCTATAAAATAATTACCTCTTATAAATCAAATAGTTCATAATTCCATTATGCAGTTCAGTAGTATTACTCATCGCTAGAAAATGGAATGGGATACTGATTTAAGTTTATGCAAAAACAAAACAAAAACCCCCAAACTTACAACTATTACCATATCAGGGCAAAATCCTAGTAGGAAGTAATTAAGGAAACAGGAAGCCTCATCTGATTATGAAGACCATAAACAGTTCCTTTTTACAATATTACCTGAAGCCCAATAAGCACAGAATTCTAGAGGACTACACCTCATTCTCCATCAAGTCACTTTCTGGTTTCTACCACTAAGGGATCTCTAAATGAACTTACTTAGTGTGAACAGAAGTTTGACGGCAGAAGAGGAATGTATCTTTTAAATTTTCTCTATTTTTTTAAGCTTCCTGATGGTTCTTACTAAAAGGCATTTTGCAATCATAATAACCCTAAGGACTGGCACAGCTGTGATACTGATTTAAAAAAGGGAAATGTGTATGGGAAGTATGTGTCATTTCCTGGGTCCAGGTAAATGTCTCCAGGCATGTCTACCATTGGTACTATCAACAATTGGCAAAGACAGACACAAAACAGCACTTTTTTTCCCTTCTTCTTGTCTGCCTGACAGTCTGTAAACATTATCCATGGGGATTTTTTGAGAAAGGATGAAAGTAACTTACTCCACAGGAGATACATTTATTTTTCCCATTTAACTATAGATAGTAACATTTAAGCTTCAATATTATTTTAAACCACCCATGTATTACCAATTCAGGTTGCAAACTATAGAGCACTGGTTTTTCATCACAATTTTTTTATACACAACTTTCCCCCCTTTTCTGATCATATCAAGGCAACCTTTCTTGCAAAATTCTGAGAGTAGGGAAAAAGGATATATTTATATATGATCACCCTAACTGTAGCATATCCATTGGGGTTCTAGCTTATATATGGGAAGATCTCAAATTTATTCACCACTTTAGAGAGCATCCTAAGCGCTCTTGATCACCCTAACTGTAGCATATGATCACCCTAACTGTAGCATATCCATTGGGGTTCTAGCTTAATATGGGAAGATCTCAATTTTATTCACCACTTTAGAGAGCGTCCTAAGCTTCCTTCTTTGCAGCTAGCAAAACCACAACATAAGTTTCCCTGAAATGCCTCAAGGTCAAACACAGGCTCTGTGCTCACCTTACTTCCTCATTGTTCTCATTTTCCCATAGAGCCTGGCCTAATAATTATATTTTGTCAATTCTACAATTTTTTAATGGAATTTTTATTTTTTTCATTCTTTTAGGTGTTTTTGCTGCAAGGGATCGGTCAAAACTACCTAACTCACCAGTTTGAAATGCCTCAAACTGCATAAACACACAGCATAAAACTTGAGAACCACTCTTCAACTACTCCACCAGCTTTCCCACTCCTAACATCCATGCCCTTCGAGGTGTGTACATTCTTTCAGCTCCATTTGAATGCCTCTGTGTTTAGATAGATACTTATTTTTCATAACAACATTGGGTCACAGTATATTGTTTGGTGCTTTACTTCATTTCATTATCTGTTACTGGATCATTTTATGTTAGAACAGGAACTCCACCACAATCATTTTTTTCCCTTTTTTTTAAAAAAAATTTTATTACTGTAATGTAGATGGTATCAAAGAAATACTAGGTCCATATTTGAGAAGTATCATGATTTATTTAGCTCTCTCTATTATTAAGCAGTTAGTTACTTTGCAAAACTGGGCTACTACAAACAATAAAGCAATGTCAAATTTAAAAATTTTCTGTGCACATATGTGTCAGTATTGGATATGTTTCCAGTATTTTGTTGTTGTTGTTCCCAGTATTTTTTAACCACAACTTTCAGATAAAAAAATACGATAAATATTGCCAAATTATCTCTTTCCCAAAGTCTGCATCAAGATATATTTCTATCAACAGTGTAGAGTGTATACTGCCCTGAGTACTACTGGAACCTTGCGAGTATTGGTTTTTAAAGTTTCAAGTCAATCTTATTGGCGAAAATGACATCTCATTATTTTAATCTATTTTGTATTGCTTCTCCAGTTTTTACATTTTTCCAATTATAACTGGATACATTTTGGGCTTACTATTTTCCAAGTTTAATTTTATTTCATCTGCTAATCAAATAGATTAATATCTGTCACAATGAAAATAAATTGGCCATAATATATTTGTACTTGTTGATAAACTTAGAATATATGAATTTTGTTTACAATAAATTTCATAATTATTGCATTTTTTGGTTGGCTGCAGTTTTGGGGGTCATCAATTCTATTACCACTGATATTAACATTCCCATATTTGTTTGTGGTTTTTGGTATTTTCCTGTTACATATTTTTCTTTGTTTTCAACCTTTATAGATTGCATTCACTAGAGGTGTCTCTCAAAAACATTAATCCAATCTCAGAGCTACTACTAATATATCAATAGGAGAATTTAATTTGTTAAGATTTACAGTGATAACTACCATGTTCATTTTTCATTTAACTTCCATTTTTAGCCTTTTGTTGATCAGTATTTTTTCCTTTTAGTAGTTTAGAAAGTATACATCTAATTTTTTTCCTAAATTTTTTAAATCTTTAAATCTTTAAAATTTAATACAGATATAAAACATGTATTTCTGGTATTACGTAGTATCTATTCTCTTTTCCAAACAGGGAAATAAACTAAGACAACTCTGTCTTTCTCTTATGACTTTCTGGGATTTTTATTTTCAAGTTATTGTTTTTTACATTATAATTAGTCTTTTTTGAAACAAAGAATTATGACTAATTTCACACCATTTCTTAAATACAATGCTTCCTATTTCTTGCATTCACAGTTTGCTTAATAGCATTACTTCTCTAAGTGTTTGTTGTTTTCTTTTTCAGAGTCATTCTATAGGATTTTCAGTCTACCCATCAGTTACTCTTGGGTAAGATCTACAATCTGAACTGAACTAAATGGGGAATGAGGAGTATCACACCAGATACCCAATCAGGTGGTATAATTATAGCTGTGCAACATGGCTCTGGAGCCATGATCTGGGGAGGGCAGTGGGGAACTTCCTAATGCCTAAAGCAGTTGAAGTTGTATGATCCTGGACCTTGCAGTGGGAACATGCAGATCCTAGCTGTAGCAAAGGCAGCAGTTTCCCTGGTGCTATCACTCTGGGAGTCATCTCTGGAGCCCCAGTCTAGGGATTGCTTCCCCACTCCTTGCAATGATTCTGTAGATAACTAATTCCCTCTCTGTCAAATGTGCTTTGCTTACTCTAGTCAAAGTGAACTGTATCTATAAATGAACCATGACTGATATCCATCCATGGCTTTCCTCCTTCCATCCTTGCCACATCCTGTATCAGTCAGCTTTTCTAAGTATTTTTTAAATTATCCTCTTATCCATTTTCATTCTTTTAGTTCAGGCCCTCAGAATCTCTCTCCTCATAATCTATAGATTAGCCCTTGGTTGGTCTCTATTTCTTCTATGTCTGACTGCTCAGATGGCAGCCTTTCTACAACATATCAATATTTAATCACATTATTGTTATGTTTAATTACAAAGCACAAGTTTTCATTTTGTTTTGTACATATTGCAAGGCTTCAAAATCAGTCCATAATCTTCCTAGCTTCCTTTCTTATCACTATTCACAATAGTGAATTGCAGTGACTTATTTATAATTCCTTGTGTCTCTACAGACCTCTTTCCCCCATATCCTCAACCTGAAAAATTCCTATTCATTCCTGAAGAACAATATACATTTTTACCTCCCTTGAGAAGCCTTCCCTGTTATACTCCAAAATAGTTTCTCTTATTCTCCTATAGCTCTCTCTCATAGAATCGGAAACATAATTGTTTACCTATATCTCTTATATATAATTTATTAGATTATAAATCATGTGTGATCAGTGACTTTGTGTTAATTTACATCCCCAACACTTTAAATAGGACCAAGAACAAAATAAATTTAAGGTAAACATTTGTGGGATGCATAAATAGTGTGGCATTTTTCCCTTTTCTGAGTGCAACATTAATTCTGTAAAAACTACCAAAATGAAAATTTACCTGGCATCACCCAGAATTGAAATCAGACGGTACTGGGGTAATTCAGAAGATGCTACATGAGCTAGGATCCCAAAGAGCCTCTCAGCCATTATCATATCATTCTGTGTCACCTGAAGAGATACAATTAAGAGGGGTCAAAAACGATGCTGTCTCTGGGCTTGATACAACTAACATAACTCCAAAGATACGTCCAGATTAAATATTTTATTTTTAGTCCCGGAAAATTTTATTTTTAGTCTGGCCTACAAGAAGACAGTGGTCATTGATATTCCATTTTCTTCCCTGAGGTAATTAGGATGAAGATGTACAAATATGACTCATGTTAGTGGATGATAACCAGGATGTGAGCAGTTAGCTCTGACTTAAAAGTTCTATTTCCTGAGAATTACACTTGAAGTAACGTAAATTCTTCATGAATTTTTCAGAAATCCTAGAGGTTCTTGTAGCAGAATGATTTAGGAGGGGAAATTCTCAAGCGCCGATGGAATTGATTTATTTGAATAATTTATCAAAGGTAAGTCAAGGTGTTGTCCACACCTTGCTCCAGTAAGGATAATTTTGTTCCTTCCTCAGAGATAGAAATGTCATTGAATTAACAAGGACATCCCAGTTCATTTTGAAATTATATCTGCCTTTCTCCCTTGAAGGAACAACTTGTATACAGCTATTCCTTATGAATGTTCATTCCTCTGTCAACCGAGAAAGTACTATAAGTTAAAAGCAGGACTTGGATTAACATCTGAGCATATTTTCTTTAATATAAAATAAGGTTCTTTGCATTTTAAATACTATTAGCTTTTCTATTCAGTTCTGTGGTTCCCAATCAGGGGTTCCCTAGGGAACATTTGGCACTGTCTGGAAACACTTTTGTTTCAGCTGGTGAAGGGGTGCTACTGGCATCTAGTGGGTAGAGGTCAGGGATGCTGCTAACCATTCTACAATGCACAAAACAGCTCCCAAAGAATTGTCTAGCCCAAAATTTCAATAGTGCTAAGGTTGAGAAACTCTGAGATAAAGTTGGGGTCTTTTAAAATTCATGCTTGGGCCTCCCTGGTGCCGCAAGGGATTAAGATGCAACCTATGAAACTATCCGCAGCCACTGCAGCATGAGTTTGATCCCTGGCCGGCCAGGGAGCTACCCACATGGCACGACAGACCTCTCCTGACTCACCCACTGCTCCCCTCAGCAGTGTATTTCATACATCTGCCTGTTTTGCTCCCCACTCTGTCTCTGGTGAATCCTCTTATCCCCCATACCTCTGGCTTGTACCCCAGTTCTTGTATGCACAAATAAATAAAACTTTAAAAAAAGTTCATTCTTAACACTATATATAATTCACTTAATGGGCATTTTCTGAAAAATAAACTCCACAATTCACAAGTATTTATATACATCAATCAGTATAGACTGACTCTTCCCCTTCCCTGCCCTTCCTTAGATCTTCATAGCTAATGCGGCTGCTATTCCCTCAAATCCTACCCTTAGCTGACAACTAAGATGTTTGGTCTACTATAGTCACCTAGTGGTTGGCACAGGCCATTACTCCGTGTTTTCTTTTTGATATACTTAATTCAATTTGGCTACCAAAGTTAATATTCTCTCTTATACAAATGAGAATGAGAAATATATCATTATATATTGTCAAAGATCAGATAAGCAGCTTTATTTGAAGTCTTTTAATGATATGTCAAATATCCCCAGCATTCACATTTTTGGAACTTAAATCAGAATAAGTTATATTGATTCTCTATGATTCTTCTTCACCTCACGGTAGCTGAATTTTTGGACTTACAGGCTGAGGTACTTACAATACATTAACTGCAGGGAAATACAGTTGCTATTACCACTGTGCTGGTAAAGCTGATTACAGTTAATCTTATCATCAAGAGATCCTCTCAATTTTAAGAGATAATTACAATAATACTGACAACCTACAGAGGGTTGTTCCCCCTGCCCCTACTTTGGAGGATTATATAAATTCAGTTCAGGGATTTCCTCAGTAGAGGTAGAACAGAGAATTACTCTTTGCCTCCAAAATAATATCTAAAGAAGACATGGTCTTTAGGTAGCTGGGGGACTCCCCGCCAGCAAACTTAAAAATCAGAATCAAACTGAAAAATAACTTTCACTAATAACATTGTAGTTATTCAGGTTCCTGAGTTATACAATACACATATGTCATAGAGTGCTGTTAACAAACTATCAACAAAGCAATTCAGAAATTGGCTTTTATTTGTTTTATTTCCTTTTTTCTCACATCTTTTTTTCTCTTATTTTATCTTTACTCTTCATTTCCCCTTCTTAACTCCTTTTTTTTTTGTAGATCATTCTTCTCCCCTGTATACATTCTCTTCCCTCTCCCCTCTTTTCTTCTCTTCCTTCTACCATGACACTTATTAGTTGAAATTTAGATATCACTTCCCCATCCCTTCTTGCATGTCAGGAAGCCTGTAAGCAATTTGAAAAATAGAATGATCATGTTACCTACAGAAATGTTCTTTCTTTTGAAATTGTCACCCTACCAACATTTTACTTTCCTAAATGCTTACAAATAAGAGAAAAAATAATTAATGTTCACCATGGCTTTGTTACTATTTTATTTTCAAAACTGTTTAGTGCTTTAGACTTTTTTTTTGATAGATGTTTAGCTTTTTGACATTGTAAATGATAATATTATTTTAAAAAGCAACAATTCTTAAAAACTCTACCATGGTTACTTAAATTCTTGACCATTTTAATAACTATTTATCCTGAAAGGGGGCATTTTTATTTTACAGTTGACTTAGTATTTAGCTTACCTCTGTTCCATTTATTTTCTGCATACTAAAATGGCTCAGTCTAAACAGTACATAATATTTCCAAAGTGTAAAATTGACAACTGGATTTCCTTGAGGATCAATTGTTAACTGGTCAATGCGACGGAGTTGTGCCAGTGCATTGAACTGCTGTAGCATGACAAGATTTGTTTCTTTGAATTTGAGGTGCTGAAATAATAAAGGACAAAAACAAGAGCTGAACATTGAGCTTAATCATTTTAAAATATTTAACATTGAAGCTTCACTAATCATTCTCTAGGCAAATCTGTGAACTTTAGTTTTAGTATGTTTTCAACTGAATATATTAAACTTACATAACTTTAAGCCACCTAATATATCACTGATGCAATCCGTTAATCCGCTCACTATTGAAGTCAGAATGATTTCCCTTCTGCAAAGCATATCCCCCAATTTATTAACAAATATTTTTAAAAAGCATGTGTACAACTCAGACTTCTATGTTTTACAGTGAAATTACATCTTCATAGGAAAGGTGAGGAATCAAAGTTTCAGAACTTCAAAAACACAGGTCTGAAAATGCTTCTGAAAACACCTAGTTAGCTATCATCATCTCTATTTTGATGATTACTGTGTAGGCTGATTAAAATGCCTTCAGAAAAATCAAGTCACAAAAGCTGAAAAGCTGATGCAAGAGTATTGTGAATTTGGATGATCTTTTCTAAACATATTGTCTCCACTGCTGTCTTCCTGAGGGAAGATGGTGTGGCAAAAGGAAAAAAAAACTATAAAGGAACAAGGGAAAGAAATCACCTTTCTAATAGAAAAACAATGATTAAAAAAATCATGAAGAGCTCATGGAAATCACAGTTTCTGTGAATACCTACTAATAAATAACACCATAATAAGAAAATGCTAATTCTCAAAATAATTTCAATGAGCTAATAAAATTATTTAAAATGTTAAGAGACTACAGTAAAAATTATATAAAAATGTATATGCCCCATTAATAGCAGGTACAATAAGTAAATATATAATATAGGCTCATGTGAGGTCCTGTTGAATACTTTATACAGTAAAAATACATAAATTGAGCAAAATTATATTACTCCTTTACACACCATAAAGAATTATTTTCTACAGAGATAATTTCCAATATAAACGGAAAACTTCAAGGCCATTATGAATGCTAATTTAAATCCCAGATCCAGAAAATCAACACAAAAGCTCAGTCTTTTGCCAGATAGAAAGTACATAAATAAAACTTAAAACAGGTTTTTGGCTTGAACACAAGAGTCATGACTGAGAATAATTCAAATATACTACTAAAAGGAAACATTTACCAGAGAATTAGGAAACTTAATCTTCAATTTGGGAAGCACTTGGACGATTTCATCAAATTCTATAAAAGTAAAGGAGACTGTTGTCACCATTCCTGCTGTTTGGACACTCCAATTCCGATCCAGCGAATCCAGAGCTCCTGAGCCATACAGACAAAGTGTGTCTCCATCCACTTCAACAAGGTGTGTGTCTGTGACAGTTAAACCCTGGAAAGCACTGGTGAGCCCTGGGTCCAGAGACCTGGAAAACCCAACATACCTTCTAAATGAAAGTAATATGCAAAGTACATAATAGAATATAAAGACTTGTTAGAAAAGACAGTTGAAATTGTATATCTACCTTTTATTAATTTCAGTAAGCCCAGAGTATCAAAGACTATGTTTTATAGAACATCTGGAAGTTTTTGCATTCTTCTAGTCAAAAAAGAGGCATGTGTGAAATAAAATACTATCTTTAAACCCAAATTATCAAGTAAAGGTACTACATATTGATTTAGCTTTAAGACAATCCATTCAATCTATCATAGCTATTCTCTCATGCCAATACAAAAAGGGTTTCTTAATCTTTAAAGTATTCACTCTTTGACTGAAAAAATTAATTTTACAAAACAGTATTTTTATAATAAAACAATATAATATGAAAATGCTTAAAAACATTTGGGAAGTGCCACACAGTGGAACCAAACAAAGTGGAGGGCACCTTGCCTCCACCCACCCAAGTGCACCTGGTGACCTTTTCCTTTCTTCCCCAAGGTGGGTATGGGGGCGGAAAGTCAAACTCTCAAGTTAGACTTAATTAAAAAGAGCCATTTCACTTGAGTGTGTACTAAAAAAGAATAAAGAAGGCCAACAAAGACTCAGAGCAGAAAAAAGAAAAAAGGGAAATAAGGAACACTCATCCACTGTTGGTAGGAATTTGGTGTGGCCTCTACAGAAAACGTGCGGAAACTGCTCAGAAAAATAAAACTGGAAACACCACATGATCCAGCAGTACCACTACTAGGTATTTACTCAAAGAATAGGAAAACATTAATATGAAAGTATGCACTCTGTTCATAGCGGCATTATTCAAAATAGTCAAGTCATGGAACCAATCTAAATGCTGCCAACATAAAAAAATTGTAGAATAAAGAAATTGTATGAATTCAGTGGAGTACTACTTAATCATTTTAAAAAATTAAATAGTGCCTTTTGGGACAAAACAGATGAAATAAATCAGGAAGTGAAAGGCATTACTGAATGGCTTCTCTCATATGTGGAGTATAAATAACCAAAGAAAATAACCTGGCAAATCCTAACAAAAGTGATTCTTAGACTCTGAAAAACATACTGGTTACCAGAGATGGGATGGCGTAGAGTAGGGAAGGTGATAGGGCATTTGCACAAGAGTATTGGTGGAGGGTGAGTGAAGCATGTGCACATATGAAGGTGTGATGTTGTACTCCCAAAATTATATAGTTACATAAATAATTGGCAAATTAATATGAGGCAAAAAAAGATTTCTTTGCCTTTAAGAGTTCCTAATCTATATGGATGGTGAAAAGCAAGATAAATACATACATTAACTTTAATATAATGTTCTTATTGTCGTACAATGAATATTTAAATGATATGCTCTAAGAATACAGAGAAGAATGACTATTCTAGGGGAGAGAAGTCAGACTTCAAAGGAGTAGTATCTGAACTGTCTTTGAAAGATGAATAGTAAAATTTCATTAAGAGGAGAAAGGAGGGGGCCTCAGATTGAAGAAAGGCACAGAAACCTAACTATGTATAATATGTTCAGGTAAGATCAATTTCATTATGGCTGGAATACTGAATAATAGTGTAAACTGGATCCCCACAGTACCCAGAGGCCACAGGGCAAGGTGGCTTTGTTGGGCTGAGGTGCTATGGCCTCAGCCCACCGCCTGTGGACAGTGCCCCTCTTCCAGCCCCAACAAGGTAGGTTCCAGCCATGACTCCCTGGAACCAACAGGCCCATGAGCCTGCCCTGACCTGATTTCAGGCTGGGCTGGGCTTTCCCCCCTTTTATATCTGGCTCTAGGATTCTAAAATGGAACTAAATGGACCAATCAGGTTCAAGCTCACTCCATTAATTATTCGGATTAAAAAATGGAAAATGAGCTGATTGATGCTAAGTGGTCCAAACAAATGCTTCAAGATTGAAAACAATCCAGTTAGGCTTGTAGGATGGGACACCCTAAAGGGGATATAAGGCAGAATCAGGGACAGCTTGATTAAGTCTGCTCCCAGCTTTCGAAGAAGTATTCTGCTCCTGGCCTCTGAAGAAAAAAGAGTCAACTGCCAGCCTCAGAAGAAAGAAGAGATTCATTTTTCTCCTGACCTTTGGATTGTCAGACCACCTTCAAAGAAGATTTCTGCTCTGGGCCTCAAAAGAGAGAAGAAGGATTTGAGAAGCACCTTTGAAAAAGAAGTCACTCTGCTGCCAGCTTTCAAAGAGGATTTGGCAGATGCCCTCTGAAGAAAGAGAAGCATCCAGCATCTCCATGGGATCCAGTGGACCTCCATAGATCCTCTCAGAGACTCAACCGCTGTACCTGCCTCTGGCCCTATCTCTGATATTGCCTGCAAGGAGCACTGCTGGGCTCAGCCCACAGCCTCAAGAGCTGACAAAAGCCTCTGGTTCTCTGGCACCACCTGGTGCTGGAATGTCTGTCAGTGTCTAGTTCAGTATTGGGCCCCAGCCTCCAGACTGCTGCCGTGGGCCGCTGCAGACACTATCAGGGGTGAGACAATCAATCACATGTGGCCTTAAAAACCCTCCTTTTCCCCAATCTTCTGTCTGTTAAATAAACCCTGTTGTTGGACCCTGAGCTTGAGTGGTCTTGCAACTGTACATACAGGTGAGAACACACTGACAGTGACCTGTACCCCACCTTGGGCACTGTGCTTTGACACTGTTTGACCGTGTCTTGGCACTGTTTGAACACTGTTTGGTCACTGTCCTTTTGCACTCTTTAGCTCTGTTTGCATATACTTTTAAGTCTTTTAGTACTGTTTCAATAGGACTGAAACATTTGAGAGAAGTAACTGCTGAAGATGAACCTGAAAAGTGAGATTTTATCTTATAGGCTGAGGAGCAGAAAAGATTTTTAAATAAATAGGACTGTATTCAATTAAAGTTTTAAAGCACCTCCAATGTGCCATGAATGGAGCTAGGTAGTGATCCTAGGGATACAAAGATGAATAAAATATGCTCCCTGCCATCAAGGACCCTATTCAACTTTGTGGAAATGTAGCAGAGAAAGGCAAGCTGGCGGAAAATTGGAAGGAGGGTCAGCACAATAGCATTAAACTAGACCATGAGAAAACATACCAAAAAAAAGGGCATGGTGTAGTAAAAACGTACTGGCTAGAAAATCACAAATCTGTCATTAATAAACAAACTGAGTGGCAAGTTATTTAATAACTTTGTAGTTTCAGTTTCCTTGTATGTACAATGGTGATCATACATATTTTTTCAAAGTGCTATGAAAACTAGAAATAATATTCTATAGAAAATGTAAGAGAACACAGATATACTGGCTATTTAAGAGACAATAAAAGTATGCTATAGTGATAGTTCAACTGTGGCAAATGAAGAACAGGGATTTGTTAATAGTGTCTCCAACTTTTAGAGTAGCTTACTGTGTCATCTTGTTTTCTACCTCTACCTAGTCTGAACTAACACTTTAAGAAATGTTCTTTTTTTTTTAATGGAGGATCCATCTTTTAAAATTTCTTTCCCATTCAGTGAAGTCCAATATACTGCCTAACTCAAATATTAATTATATAATAGTAGGTAGTATGCCATCAAATAGGAATTCTCTTTGAGATGGTTATGGCTAATTCCAATTCCAGATGTTCATTCATTCAACTCTACTTAAGAATGAATAAGAAAAATATTTGATGCTTTCTTGATTAGTAGAAGACACTAAGAAAGGGCAGGGTGATTAACTTAATGTAACTAAAATGAGTCTTTGATGTTAGGCTAAATGGAGAATATACTCGAAGGTCTAAGTGGAAAAAATAATATTTCAGAGAGGTGTATTTTTCAAGTTGTTTTTTTTTTCAAGTTTAGATGTTTTACAACAGGCTAGAATAGAAAGACTTAAAATATTTCGGAGGATTCTTTTCCCAATGAATAAGTGGTGCTGATTCCTATAATACCATATTTTATGAATTTCTATTACAACATTGGTAGGTGTGGAAATTCATTTTATGCATTATATTTTATTATAGTATCATTGGCTAAAATACTACAGTATTCATAGACAGGAAATGACCAAAAATAAACCAGCTACACTACATGCATCCAAAGTAAGCAAAGAAAATATTACACCAAGCACTTTCCCATTTCTGGCAGGGAAAATAAACCTGCAATATGTCATTTTACGATAGAGCTGTCCCAAGTACAGTGAACAGTGAAATCATTAATGGGATATACCAAAGTTTTACAGAATCTTTTTCTTTATGTGCCTATAATTTTTTCATGGACAATTTTTTCCAGGCATTTAGTTATATACATTTAGTTACATATATAAGCCCAAGGTCACAGACATTGTAACACAAGAATTAGCCACTTTTTTGGCATTGCAAAATACTAAAGACTATAAATGGATTGTTAAAAATGGAAAAATTTATGTAGTACTAAAAGACAAATAAGAACTCTAAGGAAGCGTTGTAAACCTCTTACTAGCTCTCTACATTAAGAAAGAACTGGGTTTCTATAATTCAAGATAAATACTCTGTAAATTTTTGAAAAATTACAGAGAATGTAATAATACAACTTCTAAAATTTAAAATGCTTTGCTTTATACTTTCAGGTAAAATACCAGACAGATTGAGCATATGAATTTGAAACCTATTCTTCTAAGATTGCATTAAAGTGACTGAAAAGGTATAAACCCCCAATAATAAGTACAAGGGGGGTGGAGTCAGAGGTAATCTGCTAGTAAGAAGTTTCAGCAAATTTCTGGAAGCTGGGAAGTGAACAGTGCAGATGATGAAGAGGAAGAAAGGAAGCCATAGTTTCAAAATGTACAAGAAAGCGTAATGAAGATGGCAACCAACTTGCCTACTAGAATTCTGAAAAGGAAAGAACAGATAAGATGGAAGATTAGATTGAGAAGTGAGACTGAATAATTGAAGATCTGTAAAAGGACTCTACCACCTACATCCACCATTGTCAACAAATAGGCAGAGTGACATTACAGATCAGTGAGAAAAGGAAAGAAT